TAATGATTTTGGTTTGATAGAATTTGGGATCACTCCTCATAATATTCAAGGGTTGCTCTGATTCCCTGTGATTGTGAGAGGTAGTGGAACTTGACAGGATTAAGCCATGGATAGAATTTGACTTGGTCCTCCGAAAGTTTCAGTCTCTTCTCTTGCAAGATGATTTTACTATCCCCAGAGTCATATCCCTCCTCATCAAGACTCTCAGTCTCTTCACTGAACACTCTGCCTCTTTGTCCCCATTAAGTGGACCCTGATAAGGGAATTTCAGAGTCGACGTGCTCCTTTGGACATGGCAATCCTGGGCCTCCACTATCCTGTTCAGGTTGATCTTCCTTGATGATGGAGTCAAGGGCTTCAAGATAATGTGCAAATACTTCGCTAAAGGAAGAGTCTGACTCATTTGAGACTGCTGCAAGTGCTTGCTGAATTCCAAGGACTGGTTCCCTTGGGAATTTTATGCTTTCAGAAATCAACAATGAATTTGAGACACCATTCAATGACTTTGGGATTATAGGGATTAAAGAACTCAGTTGATACTCCTCTCTGACCAGAGGATTCAGTTTCAGAGGAGGATAACTCATGTTCCAACATAGATGAGCAGTATGTGATGAAGTTAATATCTGCCAAAAAACAGAGATACTAGCGAGACAATGGACAGGTGAGACAAGGCACATAAAAAGGAACTAAAGTGCATACCTAGCATGATGTTAAGGTCACATGCTCAAGGGGGTCGGATCACAAGGGCTTGGCCTCAGCTCATATGCTGTGCCCCTTTCCTAAGTATGTGCCCTTGATTTCTGGGGGCTAGAACAGTCGTCCAGAGTTTCCAGGATTTGACTAGGGCAGGATAACTGGACATCCGGATCTGAAACATGAGATAAATCCAACGGACGTCCGGATGTTACCTGGGCAAGTGGATAAGACTAATCTGGATGAAGTCCAGACTAGAAACTAACAGAGGATGGACTACCTTTAAGGTAGAGTCGGAAATGTAGTCTAGGATGCAATCCTAAGACTCAGAATATGACAAGAGACTTATCTCAAGTCCTGGAGGAACAGGAATGAGCAGGAACTAAGATGATATTCAAACTGGAGTATTTCTGAGAGTTACAGGAGGTTTATATACTGTAGGTATCATATAGGAATCAGTCAGCAAACATAAAGGCTATGTACGAAGCATATGCAAAGTCTATTAGTAAGTAGGACAGATCACAAATAATGAACACTGGAAATGAAATGTATGTAACGAATCAATAATCAAAAGGGAAACATGGTTAACCAGAGTCCAGAGACAGGGGCAGTCTAAATGGAGTTGGGTGCTGATATAGGGTTTGGATTCCAGAAGGGAGATAAAGATAGATCAGATCATTTGAGATCCAGATCTTGGATCTGGATATCCAGAGAAGCAGATTTAGAGTTGAGAGTCCGGAATGGCATATGACACATGATGACAGACAGGTGAGAAGAGGCAAAGGCCTCCTAAGTGTCCATCTGCACTAGGTAATGAAAAGAATCTCTGCTTGGAACAGAGATTGCTCAGCATGCACATCATGCCAAGAGCACCCGGAGCACATGCCAAACAACTCAAAAGTATCAACCAATTAGACTTGTATAAAGGAAGATTAAACTTGAGTAACTAACCTTGAGGTTTTAGTGGGTATCAAGCTACCCAGGCCCTTGCAGACCATGGCAACCAGGTAGTTCTTAAAGTCCGACACTATTTCACATATGTGAAGTGTGCATAAGTAGCATTTTTCCTCGGATGACATCTACTAGTAGGAGTCACTATAAGCATTTACATAGGGCTAGACAGTGTCAGTTGCTGTGTAATAAACTCACTTTCCCCCCCCCAAAAAAAAAAGAGTAAGGCAAGCTCTCGCAGGCATCAGAATACAGCAGGATTGTTGATATTCGATGAGATTACGAGCATCAGTAGTGTTTGTATATGTTTGTACCGTAGAATACTTGGCGTTTTCAGTTCCTATTCTTCCCTTAGTGACTCGTTCCGCTCACGACTGAGGGTAAGTACCGTATTCACCTATGTTTAATCCGTAGTGACAAGTATTAGCTCGCTTTGGTAGGTACGTCATTTGATATATATCAGTCATTCCGCTCACGACTGAGGCTCACTTTCTTAAGGATTCCGTGACGGCATGCTGCACAGCTTGCCATCAGCTAGAAGGAACTTGTGAAATGAAGAGGAAATGCTGTTCCTCATCGAACTTTCTCATCGTCATCGAAGTAGTTCATTATAATCAGATATAGGAATACCCACATGTACCTGGCGCTAGTCACAGACCTGTGCGCTTCATCTACACAGCAATTAGGCAGTGAAGCGAACACGAGGATAACACATAAAACCTACCTTCTTAAAAGACGGCATAAATGAATGGATGCCCAACTTCCTCGACTGTAATCCAAACGCTCACCGAACGCTGTGATCTGAACACTAGGCTTGTCTAAACTTCTCGTGAGTGATACTCTGGGCTCTTCTGAAACATATCCACCTGCTTACCAGCGACTTTGGATACCCACTAAGATCTCTGCATGTTCTCCAATACGCAACTGTTGTATATACAGTGCCAAAGTTAGCTTCTGGGTGAAGACCGAATTCCTGTGAACAGGTTCTCTGGTGAGCGATGGCTTGTCCGCTTCTATTAGTGAGAACTGAAGTTAAAGAAGATAGACAGTTCGACTCACCAGGAACACTTTCCGTTGCCAAACAACTCGTTTTAATTCAATTTTGATCCTGACGGGCTTCTCAGGCTCTCACTCGCATCCATATTGCACGATCTGCCATACTTGAGAGCTCCAAGCGCCGACTATGCCTTCTCCGACCAATACGATACGAGGCCATACCGACAGGGTAAAAGGTGCCGTGCACCTGCCTGGGGGACGACGTATCATCACATGTTCGTTGGATGGCTCACTGCGACTATGGGACATGGAGGGCGGTGTACAGATAGGCGAGGACTGGCGGGATGAGGGGGATAAGGAAGCAATGGTGTACAAACTGGCATTGTCTCCAAACAGCAAGACAGTTGCCAGTGGAAGTGATGATGGAAAAGTGAGGTTGTGGGACGTTGAGACGGGAAAGGTCGTCGCAAAATGGACTGGGCACACTAAGCATGTGTGGTCAGTGTGCTGGAGTATGGATGGTAATCGAGTAGTGAGCGGATCTTGGGACGGGATGGCAAGAGTCTGGGATGTCAAGAGCGGAGAAACAATCCTGGAAATCAAGACTGGTCACGAGCATGTGTGGGTGGTGATCAACTCGCCCGATAATACACAAATTGCGACAGGAGGATCCAACGAGTATGCAGCGAAAATCTGGGATGCAAAGACGGGCGAGCTTCTCGTCACACTCCAGCACAACCGAATAGTTCGGAGCTTGGCTTGGACATCAGACGGAAAGAAGCTCATCTCCGGTTCACATGGCCCAATTAGGATATTCAACACAGCCACTTGGCGGCAGATTGCCACTCTGGAGGGTCACCCATACTGGACCCTCGCCATCTCCTTGTCTCTGAATAACCGCCTCCTTGCAAGTGCATCAGATGACAAAACAACGCGTCTATGGAATCTCGACACCAACTTTCCAATCAATCCACCCCTCTGGCATGAAGGTCAGGTGGAATGTGCAGCCTTTTCCACCGATGGAAAAGTGCTGGTTACTGGTTGTGGCGACAAAAATGCGTACACATGGGACATTCATGCCATCTTCAAAGAAATCGGCCTTGAAGACCTACTGTCTACTGGTACCAATATCGTGAGTATCAACATATCACCCTCTCTTTCTCACTGACAGTGTCTGTGACAAGGCACTACAAGAGGCATCTCAAGGCGAGTCAGGAATAGAACATACCCCCCGCTCCTCAATCAGTGACAAGTCGTTTTTAAAAGTACGTGATGTCTTTCCAAACCCTTTCATTTATTATAACGACACCATGGACTAGGCTGACGCCACGCGATGTCACGACGAGTTTGGGGGTGTCGATGAACACTCGCCGCGGTTTTTTGATGGCATGGAAGTTAATGATGATGTGCGTCATCAGCATTTCTATTAATGAGTTCGTGTTCAGACCTCTGCTCTCAGCCCTCCCTAATGGGTGGTGCTTACCCTCATTCCTCTGCAAATGTATTTCTCGCTCGCCTTGCCTCCCTCTTCCGCCGATCTCGACCCGACAATGCTGAAGCGGCCGAACTTCCGCAACCCCCAATGCCTTTGGCGTTACATCTGCGGGTGCTCCTGGGCCACCTGTCCTCACTCTTCCATCGCTCTCCGTCCCAAAATGATGGCGCAAACGAACCTCAGCAACCCTCCACACCTTCAGGGTTAGATCAACATGCACTATTCACCCGTCTGCCCTCACTTTTTCCCCGCTCTCGACTCGACGAAGGAACCGAGCCCCATCCCACAACCCCTTTGGGTTCACGTCCAGATGCGCTCATGGATCTCCTGTCCTCACTCTTCCGCTCTCAACCCCGCACCGGCGAAGAAATCGAACCCTCCCCAGTGCATCCTCATGTTGTCGAAGTACCTGCAATGCGGGACAGGGAGGTATGTCTTTCTCTGGTGTATCGATTTCTGGTATCTGATGATTTCTATGCAGGTGTTGTTCGTTGCCCCAAGGCCGCCACCACATCGTCCAAACACTCAACCTGCTGGTAATACCGTACCAGGTGCAAGGCCTGCGTATTCACTACCCGTCCGATTGTTGGCTCATCTCGTGCTTTTTCTCTGCTGCGCGTCTCCTCAACACCTTGATAGCAACGCACACTCAACACAGCAGCAGCAAGGTCAATCGCAAGGTCCAGTCCAGACCCAGGCTCCGTCACCGCAGACTCAGCCTGTCGCCCCGTTGGTGTCGGCGTCCGCGGTACCTACTGCTCCTGATACTCATACTATGCCGACACGTGCAGCAACCGCATAGCTACGGCCCCTTCCATTGTGGATTCATTTCGCACTTCTTCTCTGCTGTGCATCTCCCCCACCAGAACGCACCACCGACTACCTTGCGATGTTGACCCACCCCGGAGTACATCGTCATCGTCTGGATCTCAAACAGAACTGCATTTGCGCCATTCAACAAAACCTCTTGGTAGAAAATGTATTAGTCGGATCTAAACGCGTGCGTGCGCGTAATTGCGCTGCATCGTCAGTTCGTCGAAGTCCAACTCATCAATACATTCGAAAGCTACTGCATCCTCCGTATCAACTTTGCGTTCCATCGAAACCGTTTGTCGTGGACAGTGAATCGAGGACAGTTTCCTAAGTTCCTTTGCGACCCACGCACAACTACATTTAATGGTTGTCAAAGATTCACGCTAGCATGCGGACCGTGCTCGACCTTCGAACAGATCCCTTTGCTCACGATCAGTTATACACAGGGTGAGAACGTGAAGACACAATGTGTCTATTTGCAGAGACGACCAGACTGTGCTGATAATGTATTTCCCGAGTTGCTACTGTAAGCACAATGTATCGTCAAAGAGCGGATCGAAAGGGGTGTTCCTGTATTGATTATAGAAACTTAAGTAAGCCGGCAAATACTGGCAGAGAGCGAAGTATACTATGGTGCAGTTCACTTATGCGCCGCTACATTTGTGCAAATTTTCTGACGTTGCGAGAACAAGTCCCAGGAACTTTCTGTCTTGTAAAAATGCTTAGATTAATGATAGGAACATATTGTCAAGAGCGATTTTGCATAGCATTAAATTTGAGCAAGATAAAATTTCGGACATGACCCAAATTGGCGGTGAGGGCTAAGGTACCAGTAAAATCAGTCGAAAAGACATGCCACAGTCTCCGGAACACATCTATGAGATTTGTCCTTCCTTGAGCTGAACTCCTTGACCTGCAACTGTGCTGCTTTCGTCTCTAGACCTGACCGGTAAGCATTCATGGGTCAGGCAACAAGCAGTGAACACTACCAATAAACCCGCAATCGAAGTTATCGTCATCGTTGTTGTCATCGCTGTTGCCGTTGTCGTTGTCGGGCTCCTGCACAGTACTATCATCGCTGGCTATGACTCGGACAGTAGCAGCATACACTTGAGTTTGTCGGGCGAGTCTCGCACGAGCAGCTGCCACTTTGTGGTACTTGCGGGCCATTGTATAAAAGTTGAAATAATTAACTGGTCGCGACTCGCAATCCGACACTTTGTACACTAACATCGAAGCTGTGGTCGCTGCACCTACCATTTTGGGCAATGAGTCTAGAGTTGGAATTTTTGGCCCTCGATTTGGCGGTTGCCCCAAAGTAGCGGCGCATAAGTGAACTGCACCATAGGCAACGCTGTGCAACACCAAGACACTTCAAGAATGATCAAGTTGAAACAATGCGGAGTAATCTAATCTGCACCATAACCGTTGTCAGTAACAACAGCTTCCTAGAAGTGTAACTCCTGAACCGGAATCTGCATGTACAGAAAGTTCCGTGCGACGTTTGCCGCCTCTAGAATGCGTACACTTGGGGGATTTTGCTAGGTCAGTCCTCTTCTTTGACAGCCTTGACGCTAATAGTTGTAATACGGTCACAATCCATCCTGGCTCATCTGAGATTCCAAGATTCCGAGAATATGAGCAAGGCAAGTGTCAGAATACGGCATCTGGTGACGGCATGCTGCACAGCTGCGAAGATTTGGTGGCATTGGGTTGGAAATAGGCCAGAAGAAACTTGTAAGATGGAGAGGAAATGCCGTTCGCCATCAAACTTTCTCATCCCCATGGAAGTAGTCTATCAGAGATAGGAAATATGCATGTGCACCTGGCGCTAGTCACAGACATGAGTGCTTCATCTACACAGGAACTAGGTAGCGAAGCGAACACGAGGATAACACGGAACGCACTTTGTTAAAAGACGGTATAAATGAACAGATGCCCAACTTCCTCAACCATAATCCAAACACCCACCGAACAGTGATTTGACCACTGGGCTTGTCTAATCCTCTCATGAGTGATACTCTGGGCTCTTCTGCGATACATCCACCTGTCTGCCAGGGACTTTGGATAACCACTAAGATCTCTGTGCATACGCAACTCCTGTATATACAGTGCCGAAGTTGGCTTCTGGGTAAGGACCAAATTCCTATAAGCAGGCTGGTTGGTGAGCGATGGCTTGTACGTTTCTATTAGCAAGAGCTGAAATTGAAGAAGATAGGTACACTAACTTACCAGGAATATTTGTCATTGACAGACAACTTGCTCTCATTCAAAGATCCTGGTGGGCTTCACTCCCATACATATTGCATGATCTACCATACTTAAGACCTCCAGGCGCCGACTACGCCTTCCCCGACCAATAACAAGCAAAAGATGCCAGCAGTCACGCCTCGCAAGATGATGCGAGGCCATACCAACAGAATAAAAGGTATTGTGCACCTCCCTGGGAGGCGACGCATCATCACATGTTCAATGGACGGCGCACTGCGACTATGGGACGTGGAGAGCGGCACACAGATAGGTAAGGACTGGAAAGATGAGGAGACAAAAGCAGCAGTGCGGTCCATGGCATTGTCTCCAAACGGCAAGATTGTCGTCAATGGAAGTGAAGATGGGAAAGTGAGGTTGTGGGATGTCGAGACGGGAAAGATCGTCGGAAAGTGGACAGGGCACACTGGGGATGTGTTGTCAGTGTGCTGGAGTGTGGATGGTAATCGAGTAGTGAGCGGATCCTGGGACGGGACGGTGAGAGTATGGGACGTCAAGAGCAGAGAAACAATCCTGGAAATCAAGACCAGGCACAAGCATGTATGGGCGGTGATTTGCTCTCCCGATAACAAACGAATTGCGACAGGAGGATCCACGCCCGGTGCAACAAGAATTGCAACAGGTGGACTCGACGAGGATGCAGTAAAAATCTGGGATGCGAAGACGGGCAAGCTGCTTGCCACACTCAAACACGATCGGATAGTTTGGAGTTTGGCTTGGACATCGGACGGAAAGCAGCTGATTTCCGGTTCACATGGCCCAGTTAGGATATTCGACACAGCCACTTGGCAGCAGATCGCCACTTTGGAGGGTCACCAAAACTGGGTCAATGCCATCTCCTTGTCCCAGAACAACCGCCTCCTTGCAAGTGCATCAGATGATAAAACGTCATGTCTCTGGAATCTAGACAGCAACCTCCAAATCGGTCCACTCCTCCAGCACGAAGATCGGGTGGAATGCGCAGCCTTTTCCACCGATGGAAAAGTGCTGGTCACTGGCTGCGATATCAAAAATGCGTACATGTGGGACATTCACGCCATCCTCAAACAAGCTGGCCTCGAAGACCTACTGTCCATTGGCACCGATATTGTGAGTGCCAACGTACCACCAACTCTTTCTCACTGACAGTATCTGTTGATAGGCACCAAAAGACAGACTTGAACAGGAGGGCAAACCTGGAATAGAGCATACCCCTCGCTCCTCAATCAGTGACAAGTCATTTTTGGAGGTACGTGACGTGTTTCCAACCATTCCCATTCATTAAATAACAGCAACATTTCAGGCTGATGCCACGCGATGTCACGTTGAGCTTGGGGGTGGCGATGAACTTTCACCACGGTTTTTTGACGGCATGGAAGCCGACGATGATGTGCGTCATTAGTATCTCTATTAATGAATTCGTGTTCAAACCTCTGTGTTGTCAGTCCTCCCCAACGGGTGGTGCCCACCCTCATTCCTCTGCAATTGCACTCTTTGCTCGCCTTGCCTCGCTTCACCGCTTTCGACCCAACAACGCTGAAGCAACCGGACTTCTGCAACCCCCAACGCCCTCGATGCTACATCCGCGGGTACTCCTGGGCCATCTGTCCTCACTTTTCCACCACTCTCCACCCCAAAATGATGAAGGAAACGAACCTCAGCAACCTTCCACACTTTCGCGATTAGATCTACACGCGCTCCTCGCTCGCCTGTCCTCACTTTTGTCTCGATCTCGACTCAACACCGATGAGGAAATTGAGCCTCATCCCACAACTCATTTGGGTTCACATTCAGATGTGCTCATGGATCTTCTGTCTTCACTGTTCCGCTCTCAACCCCGCACCAGCGAAGAAATCGAACTCCCACAACGCCCAATGCATCCTCATGTTGTCGAAGTACCTGCAATGCGGGACAGGGAGGTGTGTCTTTCTCTGGTATACCAATTTCTGGTGCCCAATAATTTCTATGCAGGTATTGTTTGTCGCTGAGCCACTGCCACAAAATCATCTACGCACTCAGCCTAATGGTACTACCACACCAGGTGGAAGACCTGCATATTCGCTACCCGTCCGAATGATGGCTCATCTCGTGCTTTTCCTCTGTTGCGCGTCTCCTCAACACCCTGATAGCAATGCACACTCAACACAGCAGCAGCAAGGTCAATCGCAAGGTCCAGTCCAGATCCAGGCTCCATCACCGCAGACTCAGCCTGCCACTCCGTTGGCGTCGACGTCCGCAGGACCTACTACTCCTGATACTCGTACTAGGCCGACACGTGCAGCAACCGCATAGCCATGGCCCCTTCCATTGCGTATTCGTTTCGTGCTTCTTTTCTACTGTACGTCTCCCCCACATGCAGATGGGCATTAACACTACAGTATGAGGGCACCTATCTCACATTTTTTTGGAGATTATTGTTGTCTCATCGTTCACGGCTTGGGTATTTTTGATTTCGGTAACCTCCTCAATTTTGGGTTGGTTTCAATGCTATCCCGTGAAGCCTTGATTTTATTTCAAGTAGTCGCTAGAAACATGTCCTGGCTACAAATACTGGTGCTGCATATCTCGCACACCAGCTAGTCATCTCGTCCGTGTATATTACTCGGGTACCTGATTAGCAAGTTTGTACACCCTGCCTTGGACCGAGTCGTTCCCTCCCCCTACTGTACGCATACACCTTCCCAATCACCACATATCCTGCAAGGTGTTCATGTTGACGGGTCAATCCCAACACGCTATCATAATCTCGCGACGATTCCTCGCTATGATTTTCCCTGATGTATGGGCACTGACATGATGTTTGTGTGACCAACACGTCTCGACCCACTGTCTGCGCTGCGCATCTGCGGTTGGCCATCCCTTTTCTCCGTTCACATTGTGCTGGACGAGCGTAGGTCATGGACAACTCAGTGCACCTAAATTCGAGCTTATCGAGTCTAAATTGCCAGTGCACGAACGAAATTAGAAGGAACGACTGTCTTCATTCTCAGTTTCGACCGGCTGAACATCGCCGTCATGGAATGTTCCAAACTCTCAATGATCGACATGACATTCATCACTGACGTGCGCTGCATGCCTTGAAAAGGGTGCCAAAACACCGCTTAGCTGAGCGATTGAAAAGCGGATACCGTTGTTCCGTAAAGATGCACCGTCCTGATCAGGCGACCTGGACAGATCCAGACAACTCGCTCGCATACCTTGGACTGGTTTTTAGACTTGAGGATGATCATGCTCTTGGCGTCCTGAGAGCTTGAACTTGGAGGGGTGGGCAAGCACGTAAATCGGCAGTCAAGATCCCCATGTAGTGACGTGACAAGTAGACCATCCCACCAAACCTCGAGAAACACGAAAATGATGAAATGGCAGCACTCGCTGGATGGTAAGTGACCAGAGAATTAGCATAACAGAGTTAGGGGGTGAGGAAAGCGGTGGACTTCCATATTTGTTAAATATATGATGCATCATACTGCATCGCGATGATGTCCGTGGTGGTCACGCGCAGAGTATGCGACAAACTCAGGCTTAAAGCGTATTTAGTAAGTGGAGAAGTGGACATGGATTTAGACTCGTCCTCTTCCTCCTAGCATTCTGAGCAGGCAAGCTCTTAGAATACGTACAGCCTGCAGACATGCTAAAGATTTGACATCACCAGGTTCGAAATGCTTAGGCTTGACTTTGGCTGGGGAAAAACATATAAGATGGAGAGGAAATGCGCTGCTCGTTAAATTCTCTCACCACCATCAAAACAGTCCTTTGGGCATAAGAAGACGGACATGGTGCTAGTCGCAGAACTGAGCGCTTCGTCTTAAACTATGAGCGGAGACAGGATGACAGATGGGACGTGCCTTTATATATGCTTGAACGAAGGGGAGTCCAACTTCCATAACTCCAATCACGCGCCCACTAATCGCTGGTGATTTGAGCACCGAGTTCGTTTATACAGTGCTCCTTGTAAGCGATGATCTAAGGTTTTCTGTTGTAACGTGAGTGACTACCTGCTTACCAGCAGCATCAAGCACCCACAAGGATCTCCTGCACGTTCTCAAATTAGGCGCAACAACTTCGCTCGCATACACAGTCAAAGCCGCTCTGGACTCAATACCGACCGAGAAACCAAATCTCATCCCACGGCACCTTCCAGTTCACGTCCAGATGCAACCGTGGGCCGTCGGTCGCCTGTCCTTACTCTTTCACTCTCGACCTGTAGCCAAGACTGGTGCTTCGCGGAGCACTGGTATCGAACGTTTCGTTGCGTCAACATCGCTATTGCAAGAGAACTCTTACTCCGAGCACTCGAGCTTGTAAATGTCGACAAAGCATCATTAGAAGATGAGTATTGGGGTGAAAGTACTTGAAGACACTAGCCCGGGCCCTGGCCTATTACAGAGTTGGAGCAAGGCATGAAAAAATAATCTAGTAGCTCAATGTTGGTTGGTCGCTTTAGATGTGTTCGACTGGGGGTTGTGAAAGGCTGTGAATCAGATTGCGCTTCTGAATGCTTAATAGGACAGGAAAGTAGCACATTGGCTTGACGCTGACCGAGAAAGGTCGCTGTTGTTGAGTATGTACTTATGTGGCGAAGGCGAATGTCGTAATGATTTTTTTGGAGTAAGTTTTGGTGAACTGAGCGTTTGTTCTAGCTTCTCAGAGACCTACAATTCTAGAGCTTGAGAAGGGAGGACTGTCTTCCCTATAAAGACCTGGCTGGGGAGACTATCAGAGGCTGAGCTTTTGAGCACAAGTCCATAATCGAGGAATCGCATTGGTGCAGGCTGCAGCAGTTGCAGTAATACACCTCTGGGTGAGTCTCTTGAAATTATCAACCACAACTATGCTTGATGCTTACCTTGGGACTTCTCCAACAGTGGTGCACCGATGACGGGTAGCTCTTATGTCGAGCGGCTCCCTGATGACATACTTTTCATGATTTTCAAGTTGATCGTGGTCGACGAGAAGGAAGCATTGTATGAATATCTCCAAGACAATTTTTGCGGCATATATTGGGACGATTGGGGAGATGCATTCGAGCGCGAGTGCATGGAATAGGAACCTGCAAGCAGTGCTCTGCTGCAATCAGTGCTTTTGCCAGCGGCGAGTGTGTGCGAGCGATGGCAGTCTTTCTTGACGCGGACTCCGTCAATGTGGACCGAGCTGCAGATATCCTTCAAGGAAGGTCCTGCGGCTCTCGAGCACGCACGTAAATTCGTCCAATATAGTGGGACGTGTCTTCTTCAAATCACACTTCTTTGGGACGATCCCAGCTGGATTGTGCCGATTATGTGGGATGACACTGATATTGATGACAGTGCATTAAAACGCACATCACGCGCAGAGATCATGGCCGGTGTTAATCTTCTCTCGGTAATCCAGGAGTTATACGCCCATGTCCACCGCTGGCGCGAGTTTACGCTCAGGACGACTTCCTTTACTCACACATGCTAAGCGCTTTCGTTTCTGTCACGTCCTTCGGTCTATCCAGCCTGCAACCTAGAAAAACTACATCTTCAATTTATACACAACCCACGTCACGCAGATCACTTTATGAATGAACCGTCGCTTTTCCCCGGTTCAGTGCCTCCCCTCCGCGATCTTGTCCTTTTTGGTATAAGCTGGACCTGGCTATCCCCCCATATGCTTTCATCTCATCTTTCGGATTTGCGAATCCACTATGATGATTGTTGCACCGACGATCTCGGGGATACCGGAACAACTTTTGAACAAGCAAAAGTTTTCTTCCAGCTCCTTGGCTCGCTCGTCAACCTCAGGACACTGACACTCGAGCTAGAGCTCACATGTTATGGAGACGCCATATCCATCGAGCTGCCCCATCTACATAGCTTGGTTATCAAGTCACGCTCAATGGAACCCTGGGCTACCGACTTTCTCCGTAGCGTCAAAATGCCCAGTCTCCGCATATTGACGTTGTGTGTAGCATCATTAGGGGAAGAAAACAGTGTCCACGGGATATTCGGCGAATTAGCCACGCTTACCGATCCTGACGCAGATGATCCTGACGCGGATAATCCTTCTGGCTATCTTCTAGAACTAGATGAACTTCATCTCCTTAATTTCAGATACCGTGAAAACCCCCTCCTCCTCCATCGCCTGTTCGTCCAAATGTCAACTGTTGAGACATTGACGCTGGGACCACGGGCGGATGGTGACAATGTTGCGCTGGCATTGGCACTGCTCCCAACGCCACGTGGACTGCCAGATCTCCCTTTTATCGGACTTCGGACACTGGTCGTCTTTAATGTTCCAAAGCATGTCATGCGGCTGATCGTACTAGAACGAACGCCACTAGCTGGTCCATTGGAGGAGCTTTACTATAATTACGATCGAGAGGATAAGAGTGTCCAGGATGATTGGCAACATGAAGTCGAGAAGTACCGTCGTATTGGTTTTGTGGACTGCGAACGGGTCCAAGATATAGTTAACAAGCGGTGGTCATATATGACCTAGTCCCTCATTCACTTATCACGTATACGTTGCTCACAAACTCAGGTAGAACATGTTAGCAAGTTCATTTGGAGCTCATCGTTTAATCATTAATGACATATAGGATATTCACAGTTGCAGTTTCACTCGTCCTAGCTAGCAAGAAGCAGGGACGGACCAAACGCTCATGAAGTTGAAGATTTGAACTGGTGTTGCGGGTAAACTTGAGTTACAGTGGTGCACCCCTGGTCAAGCCCAGGGATACACAGAGAGCGAAGGAAACTAGGTAAATTCGTGCAATACCGAGACACTTTTCAAGAATGATCAATATGGAGCAATTGAAGCTGCCCCATACCCATTGATGTTAGTTTCTCAAGTAATCATACCTCCTGAACCACTGGCAGTACCTGCATGTATAGATAGTCCCGTATGACTTTTGCTACTTCTAGAGTGTGCACACTTGGGGGAGGTTACTCGGTCCACCGCAGCCAATGTTGACGAGACTATCTTGGAAAGTTGAGGTCCGAGTTTAGAGCATAGAAGGTAATTCGCACTGATGGTGACCCCGGAGGAGCTAAACAGGATAATCGGTTGACCTCCAGCCCTTCTGGAGTTCAACGCACCAGGCATCCTCGAGCATTTGGTGGACAGTTGAGGCGATTACACTGGCAATTGAAAGAACATAGGATTAATGCTTGCACTTGTGTGTCATGCCGCGTCACATGCGCGTCACGACCGTGGCAGGATCGCGTCAACATAGCTACGCCCGTTGGCTGCCGCTCTGTCCTTCTCAGGCTCCGGGAGTCCGAGACCGGCTAAATCTCTAACCTTCTGCTTGCAAGGGACTCAATATGTGGTTGCGGTCTTGCATGCCTAGATCTGCTAGCCAAGGCGGCGAACTTCGCACTTGATCCCAATTCTATTCTCTAGGATAGGTTGTGATAATGACAGCCTTTTGTTCCCCAGGCCCTGTGTATCCGAACCAAGTCCGAAGGAGGGCACTTCTGTTTAGGAACAGCGCCCATCATGGTTGACTTTGAGTGGCGGATCAGATCGATCATCCTTGGATTTCTTATAGGCAAGTGTCGTACTCGTAATATATATGGTTACGTGCATCTAGTTTCTGCGGTGAACCAACCACTCTGAACCCACAAGTCCACAATCGAGGGCTTCTGTTGGTGCGGCGGTTGGCCTCAAGCAGTGCGTCTCTTCAGAAACTATCTATTCCTGATATTGACTTGGACTACTAAGTGCATTTCTTTCCATTTCTCCCAAAATCATCGATCCGAGTCGGGATGAATAGCTGTGATGTCGATCGGCTGCCAGACGACGTGCTGCGCATGATTTTCAAGTTGGTCTGTCAAGAAGACCAAGCAACTTTCGATGATTATTCTATGCAGAATGAACGGAGAGGCAGACATTGGGACGACTGGCAAAAAGATCATTATCATTATCAGGACATGTACGCAGAAGGGATCAACGACCCTCCGCCATTGGCACTCATTTCAGCAATGGGTGTGTGCGAGCGGTGGAATTGTCTCATATCACGGACTCCATCATTGTGGACCGTGTTACAAATTTCCTTCGGCAACGGTCCTGCGTCTCTTGAATATACGCGTACTTTCCTGCAACGTAGCCGAACACTTCCTCTCAGAATCACGTTACTTTGGAACGACCCATATAACCCCTTCAATGGAGTCCCCCAGCAACTCTCTCCATCATATGCCTGTGATCCCCCCACGTCAGTTGATGAAACCGTGGCTGGCGCTTACCTCGTTTTGATCATCATAGAGTTATATGCTCATGTGCACCGTTGGCGCGAGTTTACGCTGAGGACGACCTCACAGACACATATACATCAAGCACTCTTACTCATCTCACGCCCTTGCGTTCATCCAGCTCGTATGCTAGAAAAACTCCATCTTGAACTCGTACATGGCCAATTCGATGAAGACCCCGTCCATTATGGACCATTGATTTTTCCTGGTTCTGTATCTCCCATCAATGATCTTATCCTTTTTGGCATGAGTTGGTCCTGGCTCTCACCCACCGTGTTTTCATCACATCTCGTCAACTTGCGGATACACTACCGCATGCCAATGTATGAAGATGACAGAGATACGAGCACTACGGCAAAGAGTTTATCACAATTGCTTGGTGCACTCGTCAATCTGCAAACTCTCGCACTCGAAGTGGATATGGATCCGCTTGCCACAGACAACATGTCTCCTATTGAGTTGCCCCATCTGCACTGCCTGGCTATCAAATCGTGGACGATGAATTGTTGGACTGCGGATTTTCTTCACAATGTCCATATGCCTAATCTCCGGATATTGACCTTGGACGGAGTTGACTACGATTTCGAGCTGATGGAGGTTGATTTCGAAGACATCCTTCAGGAGCTGATCAGGCTTACTAAGGAAGATCCTTCTAACTCTCCTCTGGAACTAGATGAACTCCATCTCGTTAATTTCACACATCGTGCAGATCCTCAGCTCCTCCATTGTTTGTATAAACAAATGACCAGTCTCAAAGTATTCACCCTGGGGCCAGCAACGTCGTACGCGAATGATGCATGGGCAATGGGACTGCTTCCAACGCCTCGCGGACTGGCGGATCTCCCTCTTCCTGGACTTCGGACCCTGCTCCTTTTTGATGTTTCAAGAGATGTTGTGCGGCGCATCGTACTAGAACGACTATTGCTCACTGGTCGGTTGGAAGAGCTTTACTACCGAGAGGAGAAGGATCAAGAGAAGCAAGATGTGTTTATCCCAGATGATTGGCAACATCAAGTCGAGAAGTACTATCGTGTTGGGCATGTGGAATCTGAACGTTATTGCGATGTGGTTAACAGGCGGTGGTCATATTTAGACTAGGGATCTCATTATTCACTTATCATGTAAATATGTCACTCACAACTTGTATCGAAACGTTGCTGTGCCCGAGTCTTGTGGTCCAGCCAAACTGACCCTACGCCAAGTTGTCAACACCTGTTTCAGTCCTACCAAGCAGGAGACAATATCGGATAGGGTCTTCGCAGACGATCGGTCAAACATGTCATTTGCATTTGTCCTGAGCAAGGACAGGCCAAACGCTCAAGATGTTAAAGGGCTTAGCAATTTTCCAGTATAGCGATCAGGACAGACTGCGAAATATTGATTTTGGACATATTGAAACCAAGGCTATATTCAAGATCATGATTCCAACCGTCACGAGATACGGGCTTAGTATGGGTTGTGAAGTCGCGTATGCATCCTCAGCGCTCAGCTGCGGTGATGGCATGACGACATCTATGGTATATGCGACTATAGTCCTCCCTAGTACACAGCCTCGAATCTCGAACGTCCATCAGAAAATCGGCGTATCAAAGGGAGGGATCGAACGCAGCGAATTCCGAACATTCAGACCCTCCTTCAACATCGGTGTCAACCCATACATCAGCGTCAGTGGTATCTCCTGACATCACGTCCTTTGTCTGACGTGAGATGTCAAGCGGAAAGAGGGGTCGTCGCGGGCTTGACAAGCGTCTCGAATTATGTATCTTCATAGAAGGACTACGGAACACGTCTTCGTCATCATTTTCCCGTTCTGCAGGCTTTGAGTTCTCGCTCTCCCTTCGACTGAGCGAGCCTTTGACTTCGTGCAGGTGAGCTGTCCGTGCCAAGCGTTTGGTAGATTTTGGAACAATGAGTCCTGTTGATGAATGCGAGTTTGTTCGTACCATATGGGCGGCACGAGGGAGTGTGGATGTCTCTGTGGAGATGGAATTAGGTACGCGGCGAGTGGGGGTGCGAAGTGCAAAATTGGCAAATGGAGGGCCGGGCCGTTTTGCGGCGGTGGAGCCTGCGCGGGGTGGATCGTTTATCTGCTAAGGCAGTAAAGTGCAGGGGTCGGCGTGGAATGGAGTTGTGATCAGAGGACCGTTGTGTTCGATGAGACGAAAAGTCTACACGAGAATCTGGGCATGAAGAACGATCCTTTATAGTTTCAGACCTCTTGCCGACAGGAATGTCAGGAGGACTGCGACTTCGGAACAGCAAACTATTCGAGCTACGTTCAGCGTTATTGCTAGCGAAGCTCAAGTTGCGTCGGCCCCATTCTCTCGCAGGACGAGTAATGAGTTGAGGGGGTTCTATGGACGATGCACCCCTGGTCAAGCCTATGAATACAAGCACTGCCAGAAGTAGGCAAAGTTGTGCAATGCCAAGACGTTTTTCAAGGGTGACCTTGGAACAACGTGAGCAACCTTTATCATCTTCAGGACATGGAAGCCAACCTCTTCAGCAAGATGATTTACTCGGGAGAGTAATTCACTGTGTTCGAACTCCAGACGAAGCCGCTGTCTTTCCCACTCGTGAACTGTGCGCTGATACATTTGTGCTTGTATGCGACTCTGAGAGGTATATGAGATACGTTGTTCAAAGAAGCTCTGGTAGAACTCACGACGCTTTGCAACCTACCAACATCCTCACCGAGCCTTCTGAGTACTTCGCGTACACCAGCAGTTTGCTCTTCCACATAACGTGCATAAAGGCTATGATTTGCCTCCAGGAGAGTCAGTCGGGTCATGATTGTGCGGTATATTGACTCTCCACCTGACCCGACCGGTGGAGGGGTAGATAATGTTGGCAAGGCGGTCGACAGCGTATTCGAAGATGGGCCGTGATGAAATGATGATGATGATGATTGCGATAAAGATGCTTCAATATTAGAGGTATGTGGGACTTCTGAGGAGATTAAATATGAGGTTTGGGTGGATGAGCTCTCATTAGACGAGAGAGATGCTGTGGAGAATATGGCGGAGTCGGAGGAAGATGTAATGCTCGTCTCAGAACTCAATACAGATTTTGAGATAGCGGACGAGGTAGGCTGCTGCATGACGGCGGAGTCGGTAAGAACAGTGGCCGGCGAAGACGTCGTAGATTGAAAAGAGGGGCTGGCTGAGTTGGACTTCCGGATCACCGCCTTGGACGCTTGAGAGTTACTTAGACTCGTATGTGCCGTAGACGGCGCCTTGATTGTCGGAAGTGGGGTGTCAAGAGGATAGACAGGGGGTAGTTTCTGAGCCTCAAGCTCATCCATAAACTTGTTCAGTTCAGATCCCCCAGAACTGATGGGTAGGGGCTCCGCAATGGAGGAAAATACTTGAGCTTGAGCTCCGGCGAGTTTATGACTCTCTTCTTCCCACATGTCCCACTTCCATTGTTCAAGGTGGGTTAGACCATAGACCCTAAGAAGGGAGACAGGACAGTAATACTCGTGTCCATAGTGTGAGTGGAAGTCGATTCGGATGTACCTATAGAAATCGCGCAGGGTAGTTGGTGTGTGGAAGGACTGTGCCTTAGTCAACAACAAAGTCCCAATATCGGGGAGAAATACGCGCCTGCACACCACGGACATTCTTTGCCTTGTGGGTACCTGCCAGTACCCACCCGTCATCAGACGTCGTGTAGGTCTTTGCAACCTTGACCGAAAAATCCTTGAACACCCCGCTGAAAAACTCGAAGTTCGCGAGTTGCACGGTGTCGATTCTAATATCCTCGCACAACTCTACAACCACAAACTGCTCCTCCTTGCCTGAAGAACATGGCGAAAGCATGTATTTATCTTTCTTTGATGACAAAATGGACGAAGGAGACTTGGCAGAGCGATGTGAAGTGTGGACGCGTGCAGAGCAATCCAGGTTTGCATAGTTGAAGCGGTCGGTGATAGGTACCCTGAAATGAGGGGAAAGCTCTGTTTCCGGGAGGTATGCAGGCGTGTCTGGCACAGTGGCATTTGGTTCCTGGGTAGCACTCGACTCCGTATGTTCTAAAGCTTCGATTTGGGAATGAGCAGTCACCCGAGGCTGGGTCTGTGACTGCGACTGGAATTGGGACTGGAACTGCTTGGACTTCCACTCCTCAAACGAGAGCAGGACATCCTCGACATCATCTGGTGGTTCTGTTGACGGAGGTGGTGTCAGACAGCAGAGAGGCGGCTCAGGTTGGCGCTTGCGATATGCAAGAACTATAGCGCGAAATGGGTCATTCTTAGACGAGGGAAGAGCGACCGAGACGACGAGAGCTGGCAACGTGAGCAGGAGAAGGAGTAACGTCTTGGGGAGCGCCGCGAAGGAAACCATCAGTAAAGTCTCAACCACAGCCTTTCAGACTTTCCAAAGAGTCGAAGACAACTAAAGCAACATGAGTGCTTCCCACAAACAGTTGTAGGAAGATAATATCGATCGCCACGTCGGCGGTTCTTAGAACCACAAGAAGTATTTCGGTCACTGTCCCTGGGCCTGACGCACCTCAACGAGTAATTGAAGCACAGCATATTCACACAACAGGGTAACCATTGGCCCAAGATGCATCACTCAAGTAGACAATACATGCAAGGACTATGTATGTTCGCAAGCATAAACATGGATGTATTAGACGGAAAACAGCATCAAAGGTTTATAATGAAGTCCGTCATCTTTCTACACGTCACACTGCAAAATCATGTTAATAAAATGAGTACGAGTCAAAGAGAAGCAACATACCAATCCTATCAACTCTCCAGCTTTCGTGTGCATGATGAGTGCAACAATCAAGCCTATAGACGGTTGTTCAATACCACACGTCATTTCTACGAAATATCGACTTACCGTAAAGACCAAGCACTTCAGCGAAGATGAGAATCAAAATCTGCACGGCATATCAGATTTGTTGCTGACGATAACTAGGTAATGAATATTTACCATTCCAACGAAAAGTCGTGGCTGTTGTGCAGTACCACGAACACCAGCATCACCGACGATACCGATGGCAAAACCTGCGGCAAGACCTGCGAGACCGACCGACAGACCAGCACCAAGGTCAATGAATCCTTGCGCAAGGGTCATTCTTGCCTCCACTGCATTGAATGCAATTCAGAATCCAGAATAACGGGCGGAAAAAGAACAGAACACACGTGAACTGGAAATGAGGACGGACACCACCAAACCGTAGATCTGCGCAGTATCAGAACCGACGGCGGTTAAGGTGGAGGAAAGCAAAGACATACACCGATAATACCAGCCATGATAACGGGGACAACACACTTCATCATGAGGTCTGGCCGGAGGACGCCCATCGCAGAAATACCAACACCAGACTTTGCGGTACCATAACTGCGTAAAATGTTCAATACATCATAAAACCTGTAGCGCAAAAGTTTCAGACCTTGCACCAAGACCTAGCGCACACAAGCACAAGTATCGGTTAGAACATTAGAGCTCCTGACAACAGTTGCTCATAACTCTTACAAGTGAACACGATTGCGCAGGTGCAGCCCTATGAACCATTTAGTCTCGAAAGCGAACAAGGAAAGAATTCAGAGCTAACCATGGCACCGAAGAAGGGCGCGTAGACAGGACAGAGATCAGACATTATTTGTGCTTTGAAGGGAGTGGATGAAGACTATTGCGGACGACGCTGATGAATGGCTAAGTAGTTCAAGTCCACGACGCAGTGAGGAGAAAGCCGATCGGAGATTCAACAAGTGGCGGCAGCGGCCATTGTTTGGCAAGAGCTTTAGAATTAAACAACCTCCTTCTGCCTTTGGAAACTTTTAACTTGCTTCCCGGAAGGTGTATCCGACTGGAAAGACGTATAATGTCTGCCTCCTTGAGATTCACCCGAAGGGTAGGTCTTTTATTATACAGCTTGCTCGCGCTGTCTCACAGAAGAAACTATGCAAGGTGTGGAAATCATTCATAGACAACAAAGGTATTCTCACCAGGCATTTTTTGGCGCGAGTCGCTGAATACAGTAGCTAGGGCATGATGCGCAATGTTTTCCGAATGCAAGGGTATACCCTTTAGACTTGCATCTGATACTGACAAGGTCTTTCAGCTTGTTATTCACCGCGCAGTCCCCGGAACGGTTGATTTTTCGCTGAAGATAGAACAATCTAATTGTATGTACTTTTCTCTTCAGCTTTCATAGTACTTATCTCGCTGCAGTGAACAGAGTGGGGGTGCGTATCTAAGTTTTTCCCAGTATCCTACTTATTGACACACCAAACTAGACCGTGCACGGCGGCCTGATCCTGTCGCTGACTGATACCCTTGGCTCGCTCGCTGTTGCGAGCAAAGGTCACTATATGACCGGCGTTTCGACTGATATTGGTGCATCCTTTATACGACCTGCAGGCAGGCCAGGCGATACCCTCCATGCACGAGCCACACTTACTGCCATGGGTCAGTAATGCAAGATCTGCTATAACGTTCTGCGAGCTCATCAAACCAGGGAAATCATTGGCTTATACTCGCGTCGACTTTACTAATCCTGCAGGCGATTTAGTGGCGTATGGATGTAAGACTTGTCATTAGCACGTTGAGACCTTGACTAATGGCATATACACTAGATCACACGAAATATATTGGGAAATCGTCGTCTGACCCTGTGAGTGAAACAAATAATACTTTCTAGCTCAGCGACCTGATAATTTGTCTTCAGAATAACGTGAAGTTTTCGGAAGATGGCGAGCAAGTAATAGAAGGGAACGACGTTGACTAATACAGTTTTTATTGTCACTTTGTGACCTACCAAATGCGCGTCAAGTTTTGGAAACGACAACATTCACTTCGCACAGATGATCTGTGGCATGTACAAGGCAGTAAAGCGTCAAGAACAAAGGACAATGTCAAGAAAATAAACGTTTCTATCTTTTTTTTCCAGTCCAATGTCTCCATCAACTCGCATGATGCAACAAGTGGAGAAGGCGCAAGGCTGTGTCTTCCTCATTTGCCCTCGTCAATGAACTATCCAATTTCTTCGATCTACCAAAGTCTATCAGGCGGAAGCTCTTGGTCGAGTACGGCCGCTGGATTGGCCACTCCGTTGGCTTGCCTTGTTGCCACAGGATGTTCCGCGCTGCGAATGACTCGTGCAACCATCCCGCATGATGAAAGCGGAAGACAAACGACGCGCACTCTTGCTTGTCGTCCACGCACAACTCATCTGGGTCTATCTCACTGCCACAGTACTCCAGGAGTAAGATCGGACTTAAATAGTTGGGACGACTCGTGCCATCAGTTGGATCATCGGGTGTGTAATAACCATAGAACTGCGGGCAGAGTGCCCCGACGGGGACAGGATCGTGCAGAGGGGGCATGACATTATACCCGTTCCAGTGTTGGAAGAAGTGGTCAGGGAACGATTGATAGTTGTTCGCCTCTCGAGCGAGGTGACTGTCGTGTTCTATCGAGAGCTTCGCAACAACAATGACTGTCGCGGTGCGCGGAACGGTCCCGAGCTACTCCCGTCGTGTCCGCATAGTTCCCAGGGGGCTCGCCATTTCACACTAGTGTGGATGCGAAGAGCTGGCCCAGAGTAAGATGCGATCCGGACGACCCTCGGAGGTTCAACAGTAAATATTTCTTCCTCGCTGTGTTCCTCGCCTGTGTTCTTCTTCACCCTGTTCCCCCTCACTTTCTTCTGTGCCAGCTTGTTCTTCGTCTTCATGGTCCTGCTCTGGTTCCTCTTTACCTTTCCCCTTGTCCTTCCCGGAAGCAGGTCCCGGCACACTCGGTTCCTCGGAGTCCTGAATCTCGTCTATCTTCATCTCAACGTCAGGTGCCTCGTGCTGCTCCACTTTGGCTCCGGGCTCCAGATCCTGCCCGTCTACGACGTCCATTTCGATATCGGTTTGGGTACCCTCTATTTGAGCTGAGTCGCTGGAAGTGCTCGCAGGGAAGATTCCCATCCGAAGTTGGCGCCGATTCAGCATCATTGGCATTGGTAGACTTTTCATCAACCGGTTTGTCCAAAAGTTCATCGTCTGGGCTGATGAATGATGCAGTCACCTCTGGGAGCTGGTGTTCCTCGATGGTGACATGACCAACCGTTCGCTTCGAACCAGAGACCTGCGAGGACTCTGTTCCGGGGGTGACATCCGGGCCAGCCTGCGGAGTTTCTTCAGGTTTCTCTACTGGGTTGTTTAGGAGTGCTTCCCATTTTCCATCGTCCTTTAACTTCTGGATCTGTCGACGGGCGTCCGACTCTACACAAGTTCTGCACAGACGAGCGTCTATAAAAAGGTCACGCGGAAGCTCCCACTCCACACTGTGCACAACCGAATGATTACCAGATCCCACTGCAAGAGGTGAAAGGTAGAGATGAGCTTCTTCGACTTGCGTCCTTCTCCGGGGTCGCGGAGGGAGCAAAACTTCAATCAGCGGCTCTTCCGTCGGTCCCTCCTTATCAGAGGGGAAGATGCGCATCACGCTCCCGTCCTTCGTTGCTTCGTCTTCCGCTATCTCATCTAGTTTCTGCGACTTCAACGCAGCCACTTTGCCTTCCGGAGTGAGGGAGAGGGAATAGGTTCGGATGATATCTCGTCGATTGGCAACCTTGGAAAGCCATGGAGTTTCGTGATCGGCATCGCTCTCATCGATGGATAGTTTGTTCCAAGGGTCGTGAACATGGAGCTTTTTGGGGAGAAGATGTAAAGGAATCCGCTGTTGGAGAGTCGGATTCCCACTGTGCGTGCACGGGATGAAGGGATGTGGAGAGGGATAATGGTCGGGATGGAAGGGCGAGTCGATGTTCGGCAATGGTGCGGCGGGTTCATCTGTCGGTTGGTCCGCGCAATTTTCTGGCGACGTTTCGCCTACTTCACCCTCTTGCATGGCTTCGTTGAGCTGCACGCTGGCGGTTGCATCTTCTTTTGCATCGTCATTGCCAACTTGTACTGCCTCCTTTTCTTGGTTTTTATCGTCCTGATCACCGACTGGAGGGATCGGATCTCCTCCATCTGCGACTTCTGCTACGTAGCTGGAACCAGTGAAGCTTGATTTTGCCTTCTCTCTAATATCCTTTCGAGTGGAATACTGATCCAATATGCCCAATCTGACGTGTGTGTCATAGCACCCAATCAGTTCTCCGATGTCAGCTACTGGTATCTCTTTGGGATCCTCCTCCTTATCGGCCCAATAAAGCTCGTCCTTCGCTGTAAGCTCACCAGCTTGACGCATCCATTTCGCAAGTCTGCTTCCCGTGGAGTTGGTAATGTAGTTTGGCGTATTTGGAATACGTCGAACGTGGTAGAAGTCGTAGAGCGTCGCACCCCATAAATCAAGTCCATTACCGGCCTCCTTGCCCCGCAATGGGGATGGCTTTATGACTTGTCCTTTAGGATCACGAGGCCAGTGGCGGAAGATAATGCGATTCTTGCCATATCCAACGCAATGTGTGTCGTTATCGACCTGTTCTTGGACAGACTTGGGAAGTTTATGGGGATCAATCGTACTGATATCAACGTATTCGGCTCGTGACACTGCATCTAGGCTGTAACGAGATAGTTCTACAGTGTGTGGTAGCATCGATGATAACGACATACCGCTCTCCTCTATTATCCTTGTCTTTGGATTTCTTGGGTGGTGGCCCCCTGGAAGATTCTGAATCTACAGCCTTTGCGACGCGTTGTTTGGCCTTTTGTGTCTTCAAGAAACCCCGTTTCATGGTGGTATTTGACAGGGTTGTTCTAGACGGGATAACGATTTTAGGGTGTCACGAATCACACACACGGTTCTGCGACACTTGCAGAGATGTTGAGAGAGTTGGATGAAGACCTAGAGGTAGAAGAGCGACGGTCAAGAAACCTTAAGTAGCAATGAGGGCGTCAATCACTGCCGAGGGTTCAAATATTTCCTAAATAGTCTTGGAGCTCCTCTCTATGTTCATGATTCGCCTAGACCGAGTTGATAGAGGAAGGCTGTTTGTTTATCTGTGGTTATTTATACATTTGGCCGTTCTATGTACGATTTTCAGAAGCACAGAGTAGTTGCACCTGCCACTGCACCTAGATACGAGAAGGGTTGGAGTGAAACAGCCCCTATCTGTTGACAGCTAGCTCTTAGGCTCTTGACACGATTGATAAACGCTAACCGTACAAACTGCTGGTGAAAAGGAAATTATGAAGCTGAGCAAGTTATGAAGGCTACGACGTTGGAGAGCCCGAGGTGGGGATGTAGACTATGTAAGTTAGACAAACATCCAACGCGTCATTCCAATTACGTGATCAGGAACATAGGAAACTTTTCACAGACTGGACCTGGCCTGACAGGACGGTCTTGTTTTCGAGAGCATGGTTTGCACAGCACAAAGAGAATGAAACATCTATTTCAGCGACCTACAGTACCAGTCAAGCTAACAACGTCGTGTCTCATATTATTACGTGTATTTCGAATATGATGGCAAGTTGCACGGGTCTATGAATTCGAAACAAATAATCTGCAGCTGTTCATGGTGCTCATGTCTAACTAGCTTGCAGTGACAGGAGCCCCACTAACTATCAGCCATGTGCGAATTTTTGGCCTATTCTACTTCCGCTTCGTCGCGTTGGAAGATGGCGAACAAGTGATAGATTTTCGAGGGAACAGGTATCTTCCCTCTATTTCTAAAGTGGTCTACCTAGAAACGTTGGTATGAGATTTGAGACGCAATAAGCTAAATAATCGCAGAGCCTCTTCTTCCTCACTCGCCCCATCCTTCAAGTGATCAAATTTCTTCGATCTACCAAAATCTATTACGTACCCGAATACGGGCCGCTGGATTGGCCACTCCGTTGACTTGCTTTGTTGCCAGATGATGTTTCGCGCTGCAGATGAAATCGGAGAAGCAACGCGCGTCGCGCACTCTTCCTTTTCATCTAGGCACATCTCATCTGGTTCTTTCTCGCGGCCACAGTGCGCCAGGAGTAATATCGGACCAAGGTAATTAGGACATTTCATTGCGTCAGTTGGATCATCAGGCGCACAGTACCCGTAGAATTGTGGGCAGAGTGCTCCGACGGTGACAGGATCGTGCAGAGGGGGGGAGACGGCACATCCATCCCAGTGTTGGAAGAAGTGTTCAGGGAACGACTGATAGTTTTTCGCTTCTCGAGCGAGGTGGTGGACGCCCTGAGAGGTTGAATGGTGAATATATCTTCCTTGTTCTGATCTTTGTCCTCATCTATTTGCGCTAGTTTCTCTTCGTATTTCATCGTGTCCTTCCTTGGGGCGGGCCCCTGGGCGCCCGCTTCCTTGGTCTCCCGTGTGTCGTCTACTATCATATCGACAGTAAGGGCTCCTGACTCGGCCTTGGCTCCAAGCTCTAGACTTTTTGCATCTATTTTGACGTCAGTGATTTTATATGACAGAAGGACCAGATTCTGAACCTACATGAGCCTCTGAGACGCGCTGTCTTGCTTTCTGGGTGTTCAAGAATCCCCACTTCACGGTGGTAGATGATGGTCGCTCTAGATGTGACGGTAGATTTTGGATGTCGCAATTCGGCGGTACTCACACAAGAAATCCGAGGAGAAGAATCAATATTGTGAATCGTGATAACTCTATAACACCAAATATTAGTGGCAGACGAGGGGTAATTTCCTGAATGGTCGCGCTTTTCGCGAGGTTCACGTTCACCAGTTGATGTGGGAAGATTATTTGCAGATTGCTCTTCGCGTTTTTCGCGTGATTTGCTGCCTGCCCAAGGTAGCGTGCACCTTCCTGGCTGTTCTCGTACTCTGGACTCATTGTCATTCCAATCACAGAATTCATAGATGACATTACACGTAATGCGTAGTTCCGGAATCCCGAGGCAATATGCGCACATTTGCGAGGAGGTGGGCATATGTTTGATACATGTGGGCGAGATCACTTTTGAGAGTGCCGAGGGCATTCACACAAGATGCGCTATTGATATGTTGATGAGTTGGCTATAGCCCTCCTTGTAAGATACGACTTGCATGTAAGATGACAGCCGTTCCTTGTACTAGAGAGAGCGTACGTACTGTCAACGTTTTCTCAGGCTAAAGCTTTCCTGGATTTGTGCTAGATAGTAGTCCTGGTCTGTTAGAAGTAAGAATAAGCAAACAGAGGCAAACCAGCTTGGCAGACATTTACGTACATAATTGCTGAAGCTACCACGCCAGTTCCTTAGTAGCGCTGCGCATGAACTGATACTCATACTGAGGATCAGCAACAACGTACTCAGGGCGCCAACTGCTCGGCACCGATGAAATATCTAATGCTTTATGGTCAGAGAATTTTCAGTGGAACGGAACACACACGAGATCGCGCGACTCCTCAATGAACCTTTAGTGAACCCACTTTCGATCGACTTCGAACGTTGAAATTGTGCCTCCAATACCAGCAAGTTACAGCGTCCCTGCAGGGGCAGATCGCACGACTCCTCAATGAACCTTCAGCGAATCCACTTTCGATTAACTTCGAACGTTGGGATTGTGCCTCTAATACTAACCAGTTACAGCTTCCCTGCAGGGGCACGCAGAAACCCATATTTAGACCTTGCTCTTACTTCATCATTTTCACCGCTCTGTTGGCTTCCTGTTGGTCAGTTGCACTTGAACTTTCAAATTCGTCAGATCTAAGAATAACAGCAGATATGATCTCGCTGCCTTTTGTGCCAGGGATGGTTCAACGAGCCCATCACCGCGGCCACGTTTGCGACAACTTCAATGTTTCATGAGCCATGACGTAAAGGCAAGTTTGAGCAGAGAAGGAACTTATCGGCAAATGAGGACCCTCCAACTTGGTGTTTCATTTTGAGCAAGAACCATGGCCCGCTACTTATATACCTACATGCTGGGCGCTGGACTGGCCAGGTGGCACATGTATAGATATCTTGTATACATCATGTCGCACCACCGGCGGAGTAAAATTTCGAAGATGATTTTGATTTCAGCAGGAGTGGGTCGAGCTACCACTTACCGACCTGGCAATTTTGTGGCAGGAGGCATTGGAACCCGGGCCATCCCCCTGTGCGTGTCGATAAGCTATCATCGGAGGAAGACTGTGACATTCTTGGATCGTTGCTTCTTTGGGTTCCTGATAGGAAAATTGTTTAGAGATGTATGATTATGCGGCTCTGGTCCTCACTTAATATCACTATCTCCATAGTCTCCCGTATACAGACCGACGTTCCTTCTATAAAGCTGTCGCTCTATTAACGAATTTGCATTGGCCACGGATAGCAATAGCCACTCACTCGCTGACCTGTGTTCTTGGATTTAAAGCGTGGTTGCGTCATTGACAAAGCCAAACAATATCCTTGCCGCCGTCCTTCCAGATAACTACGGGCCATAATGGATTCCAGTGAGTAGTATTTTGCATATGGGGCAGGATGTAATGTGTCACGTAGAATATGCTCTGTGGCTTGTTCCCTCTGGACCGGAGGCTGTGGCACTACGCTATCTAATGGAATTCCGACCAAGGCCTGATAGACCAAAGAGTGATCGCCCAAAAAACGACAAACCAAAGGACGCCAAACCAAAGGACGCCAAACCAAAGGATGCCAAACCAAAGGACGATAAATCTAAGAAAAATAAATCAGAGGACGGCAAATCAAAGGACGGAAAATCAAAAGACGGAAAATCAAAGGACGATAAATCAAAGAGCAATAAGTCAAGTACTCACTCGGTATCCTCCCACTCGACATCATCTCACTCGACATCCTCTTACTCGAGACCAACTTATCCGAGGACATCTTATCCAAGGATATCTTATCCGAGGTCATATGACCCCAGACCATTCTATGTCAGATCAAGTCGCTCCAGATCATACCCCCGCTTCGATCCTCATATCACTCTCGCCACTTTTTGGTGCCCGCATCGCCCTTACATATTTCAATTTCTGCCTACGGGCGCCAAAACGACTCCCGTGGAATTTGAGTCCATGAAGGTCGGAGATGACTTCCTCGACTCACTGTCCATCGTCGCCAAAAAATCCAGCGAGCTCATGCAGCTACGCGATCGCGTCATGGACCACATGAAGGAGAACTTCATGCGAGCCTCGAGCCCTTCATTTCCACACATACCCTTGTTCTACCTAGACGAATCCTATAAAGGAGAACGCTCGCTGCTCGCCAAACAACTCCGAGAGACAGGAAGAGTCCACGAAAAAAACAGGTGGAGAGGCAAACTTTACGCTGAATTGTTCCGTGGATGGTGCTGGGCCTCATTTTGATGCCATGAAAGGCTTTGAAGGAACGGAGATATGGCTTGTTGATATCACTGAAGGAGTGGAAGATTGGGTCGTCCTGGATAGACGGGATCTCAAGCCACGAATGCCCAAAGCCAAGGTCTACGTGACAAGAGGCGAACCTTACTTTAATATATTTGGCAATGAAGGGCCGGAACCTTACCAGGTCAGAGAGATGGCATCCTATATGCCGAGATGGGGCGAACCCAGTCATTTTGCCGGTATGTATGGACCAATGGCACCATATTATCCCCTGGACCCAAGGTAGCGTGCACCTTCCTGGCTGTGATTTGCACTCAATATGATTCAACCACAGATATTATACGAACAATTACGTACAATGGGAAGACCCGAGGATGCGAAGCAGTTATATGTATCCAAGTTCGAATAGGTGGGGATATGGTCCCAACATGAATGGATACCGGGGACTGGGGGGATACTTTTGAGAGTATCAACGACATTTGTGCGCATTGCTGGATACTAGCTGTAACGCTCCTTACATTAATATCGTCAATGACACTTGCATGTAGACCGTAGATCACGTAGATAGGTATGAATTTATCTTGACAGTTTTGACATCATCACAGCGTGTGGCCGTACATACTGATCTATCACATTCCCAAGGCCTTTGAGAACGACAGGATTCAGGATTCCTGCTGCACTTCCTAAAAGCTGGGAAAATGCAGTTGACTCCTTCGACCATCGGATTGATCATCGTCATGGTGCCCTTCTTGAGTGAATATCGACGCGTCAATATTTGACGTTAGGCTCCAGATTGGGAGTTGGTACCTGCGGACCGCAGTCATGGGTGCAAATGTGTGGCAGTCTTTCAAGCCTGATGAATAAGGTTATCTTGAATGGGCACAAATCAAGGACAGAGCTTGAAATTGAGACAGCTTGAGAAGCCTTTGAAGTCACGTATCGTTGACTCACTTGTCCAGTTGGCAAGATGTCTAAACCGGCGTAGAGCGCCGAGCCGGCGGCTACTTACACGCTTGTGATATAGTACCGTGACTGACCTATACGTGGCGAGAGCACTGACGGCTGCAGCGTGCTCAGCAAGCACCTGCTCAGCATGGACGAAGCGTCCAATATCATGCCCAGTGAACTGCCAATTGAACACCACCAACGACATACGCGGGATCGTACGACTTCATTTAACTCATTTTCTCACTTCAAAAGTGGTCCGTCTAAGCATATGCGACCTTCCACCCACCGAAATCGTGGTTCTAATGCAAGCATGAAAAGCATCAGGTACATATTACCCTTGTAAACTTGGATAGTGCTTATGTCTGTTTTCCAGCTCTGAAACTGACTACTCGGAAATTATTGCCCCCATTCCCCGCCGACATCTCTTGCAAACGTCACAAAGTCTTCATTGGCTTCGGGTTGACACATCGTCGGGAGATGAATGGCTTAACAGAGGTGTCTCTCCCGTTTCCGCGTCTTCAGTCGGCTCTAGCTTCCCAAATAATAGGATGGGCAATCGACTTAGCTTCACTGCTCTTATGGAACACGAAAGAACCGCCGCTGGCCCATCATCCACGGCTGGTGTGAGAATACTGGAGGATGATCAGGGAACTGTTGGGCTGGAAGGCAGTTTGTGAGGTGGATGCATCGGAACAATATGAAAAACTGGGTGATTCCTTCAGCTATCGTTGCATCTACCTTGGTGAAATGGTGCATCGGATTCGGAACATATTCTGGTGCGTACAATCACTGCGCGCATACTTTAATCTCAAGTCACCCCGTAGGCCACAATACGCCACCTATGTTCGGTGACTATGAAGCCCAGCGACACTGGATGGAGCTTACTGTACACCTCCCCGTCAGGGAATGGTATACTTATGACTTACAGTACTGGGGTCTTGACTATCCTCCTCTGACTGCGTATGTTTCATGGCTATGTGGAAGAATGTAAGTCTGTCAAGTAGAGTTCGCTGTACTATCTTCATTTATCTTGTTCTTCAGTGGGTCTTTGATTGAACCTTCATGGTTCACGCTACATGCATCTCGCGGTATGGAGACCGGAGGAAGCAAGCTATTCATGCGAGCCACTGTGCTCGTCCTTGATCTCCTAATTTATATTCCGGCATTGTACACATTTGTATACGCATGGCAGGGCACGCGATCATCTAGGAAACGAGTACGTTCGTCAATCCATTGTCATAACAGTTCCAGGTGTTTATCGTTGTATTTTCGCATCGCGAGCAGCACGCTGGGCTGCTTACATTACTGTTCCATCCAGCGCTTCTATTAATCGACTGTGGTCACTTCCAGTATAACTCCGTTATGTTAGGCAAGTCACTCTTCATTGGTAGTGCTTCTGATTCTCACCAGGATATCCTATCAGGTTTAACACTACTTGCGATTAACGCCTTTGCAGTCGGACATGATCTTCTTGGAGCTATCCTTTTTGTCTTGAGTTTAGGTTTCAAACAGATGGCTCTTTACTACGCACCGGCGATCGGCTCTTACTTGATTGGAAAATGCATCTATCTAGGCCCCATCCATGGGTAAGTGTGTCGCAGCTTTAGGACTGCTTTCAATGTACTAAATATTCCGCAGCACTCGCCTGTTTCTGCGTCTAGCGCTGACAACAACATTAGCCTTCGTCATCATGTTTACACCCTTCCTCCCTCCCTTCTCTCCTCTTTCCACTATAGCTGCACCCATCACTCGCATCTTCCCATTTGGACGTGGTCTCTTCGAAGACAAAGTTGCCAACTTTTGGTGCTTCACCAACGTGTTGGTGAAGTGGAAGCAGATATTTGCTAGCAGAGAAGGAATTCTGATCAAAGCCTCTACTGGACTTACCGCTCTTGGGTTCTTGCCTGGTGTAGCTGCGCTCATTTCGGTGGTTACAAGACTCGGTTGCAGAAGAACGTTCAAAACGACTCAGTGAACGTGCCTCCTTCGATGGCACCCGCGGCACCGTCATCACCAACGCCAATTTTGCCGCTATTACCCTACGCACTCCTAACTTGTTCCATGTCGTTCTTCCTTTTCTCGTTCCAGGTGCATGAGAAGACCATTCTTATTCCCCTCCTACCTCTCACACTCCTGCTGTCGGGCGCCGCACCCACTGACGATGTATTCTTGTGGGGAGCTTTGGGCAACAACGTTGGTGTCTTTAGGTACGCCCTGTGTGTTTTTGCATGTGTTTGCGCCGCTTATAGGGGTGCTGTTCGCTTGTAGCATGTGGCCCTTGCTCAAAAAAGATGGATTGGGACTCCAGTACCTTGCGATGCTTCTTCTCTGGAACCGGTTGATTGGGCATAATCCGTTCAAACTACACTATGGATATTTTGTAGGACTCGTATCTTCCGTACGAAGTACTTCTTTTGTACGGCTCGGTCATAGCTGATGACGTCTAATCTCAGGTGGTACATACAGCAATAGTCCTTCTCCATCTGCTCGAGTTTACAGTAACGCCTCCCGCACGCTACCCTGACCTCTTCCCAGTCCTCAACGTCCTAATATGCACTCCGACCTTTGGACTCATCTGGCTTTGGAGCATCAAGCGCTCGGTGGAAGTGGGCTGGGCTATAAGCGGACTACCTGGGAAACGCGAAAAGGAAGGGCCTTCTTCAGCTATGTCTGCAGCCAGTGCAACCTCATCGAGCGCAGCGTTCGGGCACAGTGCGATACGTGGAGAGACGGGGGTGCGTGCGATGAGTCTTGGGTATGCAAGTGGGCGTGGGCGCGGACAGGCTGATGCTAGGAGACGAGCGCTAGTGGTGAGCGCGGGTGGTGACCGGGAGCATTGAACGTTGGGGATTGGCTTCGTTCGTTTTCATTTAAAGGAATATATATGATGGCGCGTATCTGCTCACGATTTTTTGCAAGAGTTGGATTTTAAGGAGAGGGGGAACTCCTCATCCTCACAGAATCGTGCGCATCATTCATCCCAGAGCACTTGATGCATTTACTCCCCGTGTCTTTCGACTTTGATGACGTTTTGGCGTCATTTTTTTTCATGACATTTCACGTTTTCATGGTATACGTCACGCCTCGTTGCACATACTGCCTTTTTGCCTTCGCCTTCACACATCCTCAGGTTAAAGGCCATGGGCCACCTCAGGTGGCCATCGTGCATTTTCGATGGTATTTGAACTCTACGTGTGAAAGGGGTGCCCTTGCTGGACCTTCTTTTAGCTCTGTAATCTATGCCAGCTCTGGAGCTGCTCACCCACGAGTCACTAAAACCCAACGAAACAATGCTCTTCGATAAAGTGCGACTCGCTTGGTTAAAACGTATAGCGCCACCTCACTCCGAACTGCTGTATCTGTCTTCGCACATCTAGCCCTTCCCGTCGATGTCAAGATTGCTCTGCAACTGTCACCAATTGAAAGACCTCATGTTTTCGGACATGTATAAGCACCCTAATGGATCCGATTCTGTCTTATGGTCGCTGCATGCCATCAAACACTGGTCACGGCTTTTTGTTGTCCATTTTATACAGAGCGTCGACAGCGATCAATTTTGAATATTCCTGGAACCGTTCTGAAGTTGTGTGACGACTGTCGATGCAATTCTGCTACAAACTGACCCGCTGAAGTTTAGCCAGACGTCAGATTCGGATTCGATATGCGCCAGATCGTTATGCAACACAGACGTAGAACCTTTTCTGTGGAGCTTGACTTCATCCATGTGGAGGGAAGGTTAAATAAAAATCATTGAAGGTTTGACTTCTGCGCTCCGGATCGTTGAAAAGTCATGTTTTTGCTGTGGCGAAGACCAGTGAATGATTGTTGAGAACGGCGTTTCCGTGCTCAGAAGCAAGTTGTTGATTGTAGACCCGCACGGATGTGGATTCGGAGATACTAATTTCGTTCCAAAGCTTTTCAGCCAACCTCCTCCAACCCAATTGCACCTTTGAAGAGACTTAGTAGTCACCAAGTGAATTTGACATCCTGAACTGACCCATCAATGTGTATCGAAATCCCAAGATATTGTTCGAAACTTAGTAGGTGACGTGACGGCTAAGACTCAGAGTTGCGGAAGAGTGAAGAAAGGCGGTCGAGGACAGCGCGGGGTGTAGAGGAACCAAGATGAGTGACTTGCGTTGCGACCTGCGAGTGTAGAGTGAACTTTACAAGTTACAACCAGGGAGCCACAAGAATGACTCATGATACGCACTTCCCAGTCCGTAAAGGACAATAGGTTTTCAAGGCCAACTTTTTTGAGGATGGCATTGATATCCCACACATATACTTTTTCATCATCACATCTGGTGGCTAGCCGCTGTCCGCCAGCGCAAAAGGCTGCGCATTGCACCCAACCTTTGTGTTGGAGGGGTTTGCCAACTTGGAGGTTCGTGTCGAGATTCCACAGACGCACTGTGCTATCATACGACGCACTCGCAAGGACGCGGTCGTTCGGAGACAAGGTGATGGCGTTGACATAGTGTGAGTGACCTTCCAGAATGGCGATCTCCTGCCCAGTGACCGTGTCGAATATCCTAATCGACTGGAACGATGAGGAGATAATCTTCTTGTCATCCGACGTCCATGCCAAGCTCCGAACTGGGTCAGCGTGCTTGAGTGTAAGGAGCAGCTCGCCTGACTTGGCGTCCCGGATTTTCACGCCAGTCTCGGCACTGTTGCTATATCCTCCTGTGGCAAATTTTGCGGAGTCGGGGGAGTATATCACCGCCCACACACTATCGTGTCCTGTTTCAATTTCCAGCGTTGTTTCACCGGTGTTGACATTCCACACCCTCGCTGTCCCGTCGTTGGATCCGCTTAACACTTGTTCGCCATCTGTCCTCCAGCACACTGACCGCACATACTTAGTGTGCCCTGACCATTTTGCGATCACCTTCCCTGTCTCGACGTCCCACAACCTCACTTTCCCATCATCGCATCCGCTTGCGACCATATTGCCGCGCGGAGACAATGCTATGGTGTTTACTCCTATCTCCTGCTCCTCATCTCTCCAGTCGTCGCCTATCTGAGTGCGGCTCTCCAGGTCCCATAATCGGAGCGAGGCATCAGTAGAACACGTAATGATGTATGGTCGGCCAGGCAAACACACAGCACCTTTGATCAAGTCGGTATGCCCTTTCATCTTCTGGTAGGGTGTGATCATAGTCAACGCCGGGGCGCGTAATGCGAGTATAAACTGTAAGTGCTTGATTGGGGGCCGAGGAAGATATTTTATTGAATACCTGTTGGTTTGACACGTCTTTTAAGGTGTGTCTCATGCTATTGTTGTCCTTATATCTCACGCGCACGTGTGGCACTGTAGATTCTCATATCATTATATTATGCTTATGCTTGACATATTGAATCAGGAATGCAACAGATTCTACACGGTCTCAGTGTTTGTGGTTCACAAAGTCATGGACTCGTGTCGTGGACTCGTGGTCCCACGTAAATGACAGCTTTCCTCAAAGCTTCAGTTATCGTCGAATTCAGTGGCCAGCAATTGTTCCCTGTTCACAATACGGGTCACCAGATTCCGATTTCCAAGCGCCTACAATCCCCTAGGGATAAACTCCCATGTATGGTTGAATTTGTAGATCCACTCTTTCAGAACAGGATTACTATGACGACAATTCCGTTGCTAGTGGGGAATTGTGCGTCTGGGCCAAAGAACAATTCTTGGTCAAGGTCTTTCCAGTGCTACCGACGCCCTCACAACGGACGATCGAGACTGGTTGGTCTCCAAGACCGCTGCATCCATTTCGCAACTCAGTCATCATCGGTCATGGACTCGATGTGAAAGCTGATCGTCATCGCGTATAATACTGGTCAGTTGAATCTGCTAGACTGGAGTCTTGGACAGATGGTGTTTATGTCAGGGCTGCACGGACTTGAGGACACACGCTTTGAGAGAAGTGATATGATCTGTTGAGATTCTCATTATCGGTGACCACCAGAACGATTGATTTGTTCTCTAGGATGCCACGGTGCATGTTTACAGCACAGTGTATACCCTTCTTCATGACCTCGTCACGAAGTTTCAATTTCGCTTTCAGCACCGATTGGCTAGACCTTCTAGAGCTCCCTCATACTAGGAACGGGTCGCATGACATGATTGACTTGTACAAGGTGCAGACTCGTACGACTGTTCTTCTGTTCACAACACCGGTGCCATTTGTCACGATAGTCATTGTATAAGGATGGGCCGTCTATTGCTAGTAGGTAAACGCTATGTCCTTTGGCCAACCTACCATCCGAAGAGCACTGTAAGTATAAGTTGGAACTGTGTGACGTGGTTCTGTCATGTCACGTGCCAGTTAGAATGAATGTGACAATTCGTGGTCGTGACCGTGACACGCGCTTTTTCTCAGGCCGCATTCCCCTGAGGCTGCGACAGGAATCTACAGAGACTATTCCACTGCAGCTCTATCTTCGACCAAAGGCTCGAGCTTTTCCTGAACTTCCTTCAAGCAAAAAAAATAAATTGTACTCCGAGTCAAAGAACACTCATCGAACTCCTTGTTGTAAATGGCGAGTCTCGACAAGCTTGCAATCCGGGGCATTCGCTCCTTCGACGACAAACAAATATCTGTTATTGAGTTTTTCTCGCCAGTCACTGTCATAGTCGGACACAATGGAAGTGGAAAAACTACTGTCATTGAGTGTCTGAAGTACGCGACAACGGGCGACCAGCCCCCAAATACTCGAGGTGGCGCGTTCATCCATGACCCAAAGATGGCGAATGAGAAGGAAGTCAAAGCTCAGGTCAAGTTACGATTTCATGCTGCAAATGGGACGCGAATGCTTGTCGTTAGGAATCTCTCAGTGACAGTCAAGAAGACTGGCTTAACCATGAAGACTCTCGAAAATATCCTTGCGCTTGCGGACAGCAATATCGAAAAGGGCGGGAAGGTGAGTCAGAGGCACTTGTAACTTGGATTGGTCTGAATATCCCTGTTTGTACCAGAGGGGAGCTATTTCTACGAAGTGCGCTGAGATAGACACGGAAATCCCCCATCTCCTTGGGGTATCAAAGTCCGTTCTGGAGAATGTAATTTTCTGTCATCAAGAAGATTCGTACTGGCCCCTTGCTGAGCCTTCTGCGCTTAAGAAGAAATTTGATGATATCTTCGAGGCCACGCGGTGAGTTATTCTGTTCTTGAGTGAAATGACCTTGCAGCTAAGATGTAAACTAGCTATAGTAAGGCGCTCGACTCTATAAAGTCCCTGCGCAAAGATCGTGTTGCAGACCTTAAAGCGGACAAAGAACGTTTAGAATCTCTTGCTAAAGAGAAGGCGCATGCCGACAAGCTCCGTGGCCGTATCAGCGACCTGAATGCGACCATTACCGGGAAGCAATTGCAGTACGAAGAGACCAAGAAGCAGTACGAAGAACTCGTTAAGAACAATGCCCGCTTCTATGAGTCCGCTACCCAATTCCGCGAGTTATACGTCAAGGTTGAAAATCTGCAACAAAAGAAGGAACATTATCGACAGGAGCTCGCGGAGGCGAAAGAAAGCGTACAGGAAGTCGGAGGTAACCTTTCGTTCCGGGTTTGCGCATGGGTAGCTGACACTGAGTACGTACAGGCACTGACGAGGAGCTTCAAGAGCGCTTAAGCAATTTTGGCCAGAATGTTGAAAAGGAGAAAATAGCTCGCAATAGACACGAGGTGGGACGACAAGACCTTGAAGATGAACTTGCAAAAACGCGGAGATCGCATGTGGAGCTTATTAATGAACATGGAGAGCTTGCTGCAGAGGCCAGGGTACTCATTTGATTTACTTTTGCTTGAGGTTTTTTAACACGATCATTAGGCACATGAGCGTCGCATCTCCG